TTTTTTTTTTTGAAAACCCAATAGAAACAATTTTTTGGAATAGAAGACTGAAAATTTAGTATGATTTACATATCAAATATGTAATTATTTGTCAAACAATTATGCAAATTAGCTAATTGTACCATGTGGTCAAAACTTCTAATTAAACTATCCGTAATCAGTTGATCAATCGCGAATTAATTAAGTAATAAAACTAACCACGTGGTTTGACTCGTCAAAACCTTTATTTTTACCCTTTGGTAATTAGGAAATTAAAAGTAGTTTTTCGAATTATAAAGAATTTAATACCGAAAATACTTATAGCTTTGTGAAATAAAATATTGCATTTTGTATATCGTTACACAAGAAAAAAAAATATGCTAATTAAATCATATATCAACCAACCAAAAAACTTTCAAAACAAGATGTATTCGTTTGAGATGTTGAATAACATTGTATCTTTTTTAAGTTTGAGATTTTTGGAGATTTTTTAAGATATGTAGATTTAAGTTAAATTCTTGTTATCTCATAATTTGAATTTGAGGTGAGATTTTGTTTAAGATTTCATAAATGTATTGTCTTTGAAATGCCTTAAAGTTTCAAAAAGTCCCAACAAATTATATTGCTAAATAAATTGAATACCTCGTTATTTTTTAAAAACTTTTTAAAAAACCCAAATAAATACATCCTGAATATTTTTTTTTTCCTAAATTTCAAACGAGAACAGTTTCTTACAAATATAATACTTTAAGCCCCAATATTTGTCACTAATTTCAACTGGAGATGCACAACATTGACCCAATGACCAATTTATACCTTTTTTTTTTTTGGTACAGGGATCTTCCGATTTTCGGATCCACAGTGAAACCGACTAATTGGAATCGAGCCGGATAAGACCAGACAAAACTCGCTCTCAAGAGCTTTTAACACTACTTCATTCCGAACACGAGACGGAAGACATACACACGACAAAATTTAATCAGTCAAAGCCGTCGGATATGTCGGCTGCCGTCATCACATCGCCCTCACTCTCAGCCACGCCGCTTACCGGAAAAACTTTTCCCCTTTGCCCACCGTCAGTTTCGAGCTGATGAGCTGCACAAAACGCGTTCCCGACGGCACAAATCAACATTTACTTCATCAGAAAGTCGCTCAAGTACTGGGTCAAGTTCTATTGGAGTCACCAAGACAAGGTTCATTTTTGTTTTTATGTTCAATTGCTTTAGCTAATAGCCTCATTATTACCAGCCCTTTCATCTCCGTCAAAGGGCTTTTGTGATAATCGGCATTGTGTTGATCTTCAGCTGTTTGAAGTTTTGAGGTTTTTCCTAGTTGCAGTTTTTTAAGGATTGGGCCAAATATCTTTGTGATGATGATGATGATAACTGTGCAATTTCTGCAAATGGGAAAGTGCTTTTAGAGGCAAAGATTCAATCTTTATTCGATTTTTTACACAAAATGGCTGCATATCCTAAACTCTTTATTCATGCCTGCGACTTTTCATCAGAGGCTTTAGCTCTTGTAAGGTTTTTTCACTGTTCTTACTATGTTACAAGATTGAAAGATTTTCCGCATGTGTATCCAAATTGTTAAATGTATGCCTCCGTTTGAGTTGAGGGATAGTTGTGCGAAATCCGTTCATTTATATTTCTTGTTTGGGTGCAATGTGGATTTGTGTAAATTTAATCAAATCCATTACATGCTAAAGCTTTTTCTCAATCCTGATGTAATAAAGAATAAAAAGTGTAAATTTTGTGAAATATGTTCAATTGTTCAGTGTGTTTTATATGCGTGACACTGTGTGTGTGTGTGTGTTTGAGACTTTGTGCATGTAAAATGTTGCAGTGTGTGTGAAAGAGAGGAGAGTGACTGTAGCTGTGTGTATACGTATATGTAGAAGGATTGAATTCAAATGACTAGTTTTAGGATATATTTCAAAATTAGTCCATTCTTCAAACTTTTTCCGCTCTCTACATCACTTTATCCATCGATAAAAAAATTCCCAAAATAATCACAGTATGGATGCGTGTTTTCACCTGGTAAATGACAAGGCTGGAGCAAGGTCTTAGGTAAACGTTCTGTCTACTTTTCTCATCTCTTATTTTGTTATTATTTGTTATTTACGAACTTGTTAATATGATCCATATGGTAAGGCGTTGGATACATGCTGTTTTCAACTAGATTGGCCAATAGATTCTACATTCAGGTGGACAACTTTACCAGCTTATAGAACTTCCACTTGCATTGTTACAAAACATTGGTATAAGCTATGAGGTACCCGCACCTTTTTTTTCCCTTCTTTTTTTCTTAAGTAGATCAAAAACATGGAGCACAACTGTTGTAAATATTACATCATTGATCATATGGTCTTGTGGTGTGCTAAGTCTATCTGTTAAAAACAGAAGCACCTTTTTTTTTTTTCCTTTCTTTTTTCGTAAGTAGATCGAAAACATGGAGCACAGCTGTTGTAAATATTACATCATTGATCACATGGTCTTGTGGTGTGCTAAGTCTATCTGTTAAAACAGAAGCACCTTTCAATTTCATTTGTCCAAAGCTTCTTGTTTCCCCCTTTTGTTAACGTTCAACATCTCTACAAATGGTGCTGAAATTGGAAGTGAGAAAGCTACCGAAGGCGGTCATGAAGCTAGCGGAAGCAATTCTTGGAATTGAGGCGCTAAACGTGGTAAATGAACTCAATTGATCTTTCTTTCTTTGTTAATTGCAAAGGGTTTTGAATCTTATTCGGTTTCCTTGTAGTTAGGTCGAACCCCAAGGACAGTTAAACATTTCTGTTCTTTTAAATTGTTGTTTTAGTTTTGTTTGTGAGTTTGACATGTTTCATTATATGTATGCAGCACAGTCAATTGTGGAATTGAATTGCCTCTTGCTCAAGCAATAGACTTTGGATGGTAATTCTGAAGATCAATTAAATTTGGCAGGATAAATCAATTGGTAACTAAATTTGCTTTTTATTATTAAGTCATCCACAGCCATTGCCGGATTTGTATGACACCAAATTTGCCTGCCTCTCAATATAGTTATGAAATAAATGTGATGCATACACAATAGAGAAGTGGTACAAGACAACAGAAAGGAACAAAAATTAATGGTAAATAGTCCCATACAAAAGTTAATTAATGGTAAATATTTATTAAATACCTTTCACAAACCACTTCCACAAGACACTCTTCTTGAAACTCCTCTCAATGCTCCTACTTTCAATCTGAAGCTCCACTTCCCCTAATATCTGCTCTTGTTCCTCTAATATCTTCTTTGCAGAAAGCAACACAGAGTCCTTGCAATACAACACCGCCATCTCCCTAAGTGTGGGTATATTTCCAATATCCAATGGGATTTCCTTAAGCTTGGGTAGAACCACTAGTTCAAGCCGTTCGAGTCGCGGGAAGTGCGTGGCCTCTGTTCTCCACTGTTTCAGATCACGGCACCGCTCGATTCTCAAGTATTTCAGGCTCCGGAATCCGCCCTTGGTTGTTTCCCACTCGGGCCCCACGAACGCATTATAATGTAGCTTGAGGACGTCGAGATGTGGCAACGAGCCTATCTTTGTCTCCATATCCTCCCACCTGAGACACGTGCCTTTCAAGTACAGCTTCCTGAGGGAAATCGGGAACATCGGTTCAGTTCGTACAAACTGTAACGCATTAGAGTTTGAACGCTGGGAATAAAATGAAAGGTCCTCCAGTTTGTGTAGCAGCCTGAGATTGTCGAAACCATAATCGGTGGTTGTTGATAATTCGCTGATATGATCATCAGAATATTTTATTCCGAGCTTCTTGATATTGGGGATTCTCTCAACCACTTTCTCACTAAACCTCAAGTTATGTACGGTCTGCAGTGTCTCTAGCTTCTCCAACACCAGGGAACCATTTTCTTCCGAAGGATCCGTGAGCTGGAGACTGGTTACCTTGACGTGCCTGAGTTGGGGCATCCGCCAGATGTCCAGAACCGGCAC